GCGCCTATGTCACTGGACTCCTCACCCAGTGAAGGTGATAGTGAAGACCACGTTTCTACGTCTAGTGACTCTTCTGGGGCTTCCACGCTGGCTACGGATCAAGAGGATGTATTTGGACTCATTTCCAATGCCGGTTTACCTCTAAACGAGGCTCTGGAACCTTATTCGTCCAATGGATGGCCTCTGCAGCCTCCCATTACTGAACCAGAAGACTGGGACGGAGTGAGTACTCAACACTTGTTTTTCAATATATCTGTTTTGAGCCAATTTTTTCGGAAAATGGGAAAGGAGCCGGGCGCATTTTGAGTAATCGTTTGAATCGCTCATAGTATTGCTATTTTAAGTCCCGGTTATTTAGGACTCTTATGTAAGCGCAACATTCTCCATAAATCCATTGCCCTGTAGCACGTTCTTTATGTTATCACGATATTCGACTGCTCAAAAATTTATTGAGCAGTTGGCAATACTCATCAAGTCTCGGGGCTACTCAAGGTCATCCGCTGCGATCGTCATCACATATTCTAATTTGTGAATACACCTATGTTTTGCCACAATAGATACGGCAAGATCTCCTGATCCGCCTTTGTGAGTGTGAATGTGTACATCATAGCTAATAACGCCTACTACTTTTTTCACAGGATTCACCCTACCAATCGATCGTGAACGTTCTTCGCCACGAAGCAACGCTTCCCCTACGACAACTTCTACCCCCTGGTTATCACCCCATCACCTCCTCCGCTCTCGAAATGAACGGATCAGATGATACTTCTATACGTCGCCGGCAGCCCCAACGTCGTCCCAACCGCCTTGCTCTCGTTAATGGCTGTTCACCCCACGACGAAACCGTAGATGCGGTGGTTGATGGGCTGGTGGACGACGATGTCGATAGGGAGGATGAAGTGAGATCGGAGACTTCGGCAGAAGCTGAACCTATGGAACTCGATGGGTATCCTTCGGACTCAGAGGTTTCAGCGGCCTCGTCGATGACAACGGCTGCGCACTTTTGGAATTCTGTTACCGATGCGGCAGCGACGCCGTTAGTGCCGTCAGCGTCGCCCGGCGAACTAGCTAGAAGAGCTCGAGGACTATCGCAGTGGAGAACACAGGTTCCCTCCAGACGTGCTCTTCACTCTCGCCTACCTGCCTTCGGACCCACCTGTCGTGTGCCCTTTCTACCCACCTCTAGTCTTCGTGAGTGCATGGATTCAGTCTATTTTTGCCGATGTAGCGGGAACCACCAGGTCGGCATCCTGGCTTTTGACGAATTTTCATAGAATTCCGTAATTGTCGATCAAGGGAATTGAATTAACGTTTCTGTCTCC